CAGCCCACACACACGTCACATCCCTGTCCTTCGCCGCAGGTGAAGCGCAGGAGGCTCCGACCCAAAGGCGATTCTGACGGAGGCGGGGGTGGGAAGGGGGAGGGGGAGGGGGAGGACACGCCGTGGAGCATCGCCTCCGTGACGGCCGTCGGCGAGGTGCACACTACCTTCACCTTCAACGCCTTGGCGGACGCGCAGGTATGTGCTGTTGGTGTGTGGTGGGGGTGACGGTAGTGTGTGCGAGGGGGGTGGGGGGGTGGAGGGCAAAGTGCACACGACCCTCGCGTTCAACTCCCTGGCGAGCGCGTAGGTATGGGTGGCTGCTACGGATGTTGTTGTTGTTGTTGAGGACGGTGATGGAGGTGATATAGTCGAAGGTGAGGGGCGGGGGGGGGTGGCGAAGTGCACAGGGCCTTCGCCTTCAACGCCCTGGCGAATGAGCAGTTATGCATGTGGGTGACTGCTAGCGATGTTGTTGTTCCTGTTGCTGCTGGTAGCAGGCGCGACGGTGGGATGTGATGAAGGCGAGAGAAAAGGGAGTAATATGCCGCGTTGTCGTTGATGTCGTCGATGTCGCGCATGCGTGGTTAAATGGTGCTTCTTATTCCATATCTACAGTATTCAGGATATATACTCCGTGTTTCGGCTCCATGTAGGCGTCTTTCTTCGAGCGGGGGGCACTCGAAAACCTGAGCTTGGGCGGGTCATGCACGGAAGTATCCTTTTTCTCCACCTGGCGTGTTGTAAGCCCTCCTCTCGTGCTGCATTGTATTGTGCAGGAGAACCTCCATCCTGCTGCCGCTGTTCTTTCCATTTTCTCCCTGAAGTGAGCACGGCAAGTACATCGGTCGCCCCGATGGTCTAGTGGTATCCTCGTTATCCGCTAGTCGCAGAGGTCGTGAGTTCGAATCCCCATGGGGTGAAAATTTACGAAATGTGCGGGTGAAAGCGAAATATATATAGCTGGCAAGCTCTCGTGAGTACCAAACTTCGACGTTTGCACCGTTGACGAGGGAAAGGGACGGCTGCTCAGCACGCACCGCAGGAGGAAGGTGGGGCATGAAAAGAAATAAGAAGAAAATAGCCCTGGTGTTTACCCCCTCCTGTGTGACCCTGGATGGTTGTAGTTGTACGAAAAAATGCACTCAAAAGTTTAGTAGTCTACATACGCTGAAAAGTGTAGTACACGTCTCACCACGAAACATGGGGGGACTGTCGCCATAATAAGTAGGACGAAAACGCACACACACACACACACACACACACACACACACACACACACACACACACACACACAAGCACCGCAAACGGGCAGCGGAACAACTACGAAAAAGCCCCTGCTGGGTTATTTCCCCGGCTGATGCGTCAAATATATTCCGACAAGTGTATCCTGTCGCCGGAATATTGTGAGTCCTGTGTATTTTCTCTTCCGTGTTTGGGATATCCTGCAAGCGAATGAGAGCCGAAAGTAGCACCGAAGGCTTGGAGAATGGCTTTCGTTTTAGATGGGCTGGAATGATTCCCCAAAGCAACGACAGGCGTGATCTAATGTGCACCATGGCCGTTAACACAACTACCTCGCCAAGCACAGATATGCACGCTCATAGTTCATTTATGTCTCGACGATCCCCTCGTCGGTTGTGGCTCGTCTAGCGCTTGGTGTGTGTGTGCTCTGCTGACACCTCATATTTGCCTCACTTGCACCTCGCTACTCCCTCCTATCTTCCCCTTCGTGCCTCTAATTTCTCTGTCTCTACCTCTGTCTCCCTCTTTACCCCCCCCCCCTCCAAAAAAAAGAAAAAGTGTATTTGGGACGAAGTAGTGCAGAAGGCCAACGGAGGCCTGGAGGGAAACGTCAAGCAGATGTGGGAAGGGATTAGTGGAATGGTAAAAAAGACCGCGCAAGGGGGGGATACAGGGGTCGCAACTTTGCGAGGTGTGAACGGTGGATTAGTCAGCAGTGGGAAGGGAAAAAGGGAAGTTCTAGCAGGACACTACAAGAGACTTGGAGTGCCCTCGGAGAATGAAGCTTTTGACCAAGCGTTTAAGAAGGAGGTGGACGCATGGGCCCA